CAATCACCAGGACTGTGACTGAACCACCCTGTTTTCAAGGGGGATTACAGCCAAGACACCTCAGTTACAGTGCTCACACGTTTGGCATTGATATCTGTGTGAACTGTTTGCAAAATGGCTGCAGAGTGCAGAACAACACTTTGCTTATACAATTCTACTTCTCTTCCTGATTTGTTTAAAGGATTTAGCTGGCTGAAAGACTGGGATGCGATAAGTGAAATGGTGGTGACAGTGTGAATGAATCCTACTGGTCCCAGTATCAGATTTAGAGACACCATACACATCATTTCTGAGGTGTACTCTTACTTTCTTAGAAATTTGTCCGTGTAAAAAAGAGCAGAGATTAATAAAGTGATCTACCTGGTTATTTTCATTCTTTGGCAGTTTTAACTGAGGGTTGCAGAGAAATGCCACTCTCTGTCCTCAGATCAGCCACTCCATTGAACTGCCCCTACATGATAAATTCATCAGATCAGGCTACAAATGCATTCTGTTCATTTGTACATTTGTTGCCAGCTAGCATTGCTGTACATGATGCTAAATGCTTTGCCTGGGGACTTGCCATGGATGTGTTAAGCGGTGGTGATGCACATGTACAGGGCTTGGACACATTGCCTGTATTTCTACCCCAGGCTGGGAAGAAACAGAAAGGTGCAGGTAACTGGTTATGTACCCTAGCACCACAGGAAAGCATGAATCTAGAGATGATTTACTCTTCAGTAAAAGAAGATTATTCCGCAGTGATGCAATCTCATTTCTTCACCCTCTTTCCCAACTCACACTTTAGTTCTTGAACAATTCCATGGAAAACAGTGACTTGAAAGAGGGCAGTATCTATGCATAACATTTTGTCATTTTCTCTAATTTTCTGTCTCTACTTTTATAATCAGTGCCAATGTTGTCTTCAAGTCTCAATTGCTCTATTTTTTATCTAAGCCTGCACGAGCTATTTCTGTGGTAGTGTTCAGTTCATTTTCCCATTATTTCTTAGCTAAAACTTTCAAATTATTTTGTCTTTAGTTAAAAGTCTTTGCTGCTTCAAATTCACCCCGGGGAACTTCATTATTTTCCTTTCCAGCTATCTATCCTGTGTCAATTATGGGACCATTACTTCCGTTACCAAAGCAATGATACTCCAGTTTTCTAATAGAGAGATAACAGTGTTTGGTTCATATTTATTTTAATTGCTCATGGATATTGATCTAATGTGAAATTCATTTGTCTTTCAAATGTGATGAAATAGAAATGTGGAGGTCTTTTAAATGAGTGGAGGGCACGAATACAGGCAGCTCCTGTACAAACTGCTCAGTGCCACAGGCTGATTTTCATTGCTAAACATGCCAGTTGGAGGCATTTCTAAAGCACTCAATGCCACTGAACCAAAGAGCCAACCTTGAAATAAGAATCTCATTACAGGGAGAAGAATACTGAGAAAAAACAGGTGCCTGTATTGCTGAAATTGCTTTGTTATTCTTCAAATTTACTGGTTGTTATTAGAAGCATCCCTTAACCAAAATAACAGTTTCAGATATTTTGGAGGTAGTTAGGTCTGGCTTTGAAAACAGTATTTGCCTGCAAAAATTGCCTCACTGATTAGTTAAATCTAAATTTCAGCCCTAACTTCCTAAAACCTCAGAGATTATTTATTTTATTTGGAGCCCAAAATAGGGTCACTATTCCAACTCCCATTGTGATTATTCATAACAAGGTGCTGAGATGAAGCTCGATGAGCTGTGCTGGCTCATGTTCCTAGCTCTGTGTGATGCATCGTAACCAAATCCCAGTTCTTTCTGTAAGAGATTTTGCAGTGGTTAATGGAGAGGAATAAAGCAGTGTCTTGGGGAAAGGGAGAACTGGAGGGAGACCCAGCCTGTGTTCCCAGGAGTGCAGGAGCTTTCCCCATGAAAAGTCTGGCAAAGGCAATATTGGATGGGATGACGTGAGTTTGGGGGCTGGAGGTGACTGCCAACCACAGGATTTGTAAATCAAAAGAGGGGGAGCAGATTGGGAAGGTTCTGTGAACTCAGTATATAAAGCATCCCTTTCTATTTATTTATTTATTTATTTATAAATTGAGAGATTACCTAAAAGTGCTGCAAAAACCTGGTGTAAAGGCTTGTTTGTTCAGCCTTTAGGAGGATGTGTTGGCTATGCTATAAATGCCATATTAAGACAGTACAAAGTTGTTGCAGGTGACTGGTCTGTTTTCAGTTTCCTTCAGAGATCGTTTTTGGAACAAACGACATTCTAGAGGGGGCTTATCCCAAGGCAAAAGGAAAAGCAAATTAAGGGAAAAGAAGTGCATCTCAGACCCTGTAACACTGTTGAGCTGATAAGTGCCTGAAGTGAGAGAAGTACAGCCTTCAGTGTTCCTCGATGGCTCAAGAAGGTCTGACAGTGCCAATTCCTCTCTGTCAGAAATTTCATAGCCTGCTTCAGAAGCACAGTAACTATCTCCAGCTGCTGAAGCCACCAAGATGGTTTTGTTTCAAGATGCTAGAGGTTTAGATTTCCACTAAAACACAAATAAGTGTATGTCCTTAGCTGACACTAAGACACATGCTGTTTGTAACATGCACCGTGTGCTCCACTGCACACGTCCATTTTCACATAATTGGAAAATATCCACCAACCAGTAAATTAAATTTCAGTGAAGTATGAGTTACAACACAAATCTTGCTTGTCTCACACATCTTTGCTCCCTCCTCAGCAGACCTATGTGAAATTATACGTTCCAGGAGTACGTATTCCTACCTAGGACAAAATGTCAGTACTGTCACACTTCCTGAGTATGAAACAATTTTGCTAATATATATATAAAATATTTTATGATTAGAGAAAATCATTGCTCAAAGTCACTGCATTCTATGTTGCAAAGAAATATCCAGCAGAAATGTCATACTTGGAAGTTAGGAACTGCCTAAGTAATAGTGAGATCTCTGCAAAAGAAGGATTTTTTTTTTAAGCATTATTATCCTTTTGGCATGAGTGACTGATGGAAGAATGCTTTATTTCAATTAAGTGCAGAACCTGCTCTCAGTACCATGCATCCTTGATGAATTTTATTCAGTCACAGCTCCTTCAGGTGCAAGAGGTATACAAACAGCAGCTCTCTGCTCTCCTACCAGACCAACCCTGAGAGCGAATGTTCATTCTTTTCAGAACTCTGTATAGATACCTATACACACATCCCAGTGCTCAGAGTCTTTTGAACGTGTTGAAGGTTGGCTTTCCAGCACTCTTGCTGTTGATGATTCACCGATTCCTTTTTTGAGCTACTTCTCTCTTTTTCATTACAAAGGAGTTTCAAGAAGATTTAGCTCAGAATTAACCAAAGTTTCTCTCTCTTATTATTTTAAATGGGCAGCAGGATACAAGTTGCCCATTCTGAAAGAATCTCACTGAGAAACTTGGAATAATTTGGGAGAGAGTTTAAAACTGTGTCGTTATTCATATCTGAGGGCATTTGCATTTGAATAATGCCAATTAAAAGTGCCCTTCGAAATGACTGAAATAAGAATAATTTCTGTGCTCTGTGTTGCTTTCTAATTACAACTTGTTCAGAAGTTATACTCCCGTGGCAGAGAATGTCAGCCAGAAGTTACAAATGGCAAGTGCTTAGATGACTTTCAACAAGTATTCTTCTGTCTCACTCTGAATTTTCATAAACCTCTTTGACTGTTCAGTCAGTGGGCTGCCAATGTTTCCCCCAGGAACTAGTTCTATATGCTGATATATTTTGTGTCAGAAAGTTTTTCTGCTATGGAAACAATCACTTTGCTGTTTTTAACATCATCCAGTTATTTCTAATCTTCTCTCTTTGATGTCTGAATCTTTAGCTGCTGGTGCCACATTCATTCTGTTTAGCCCTTTATCATTTAATAGCTTCTGACTCCCAGTAAACTATTCAAAGGAAGAGTAGCAAAAACTACTCTGACCACCAAGGTTTGGTAGTAGCCTTATTAATGTTGTAGCACAGAAGGATACCTAGGTGCTAGTTTGAAATGCCATGGTGTGACTTAATTTTACAAATATTAAAATACTGTTGCTAGACCTGAAAGGCAGGACACATTCACAAGAAACTTCTTCTGAAGTCTTACCATGGCAGGAAAGGAGATGGCTGTTGTCTGTGCTGCTCCAGCTGTCACTTCAGGCATCCTGTTACCAGATAGCAGGGGCTGGGGAAGCCTTTAGTGTGCTTTGCGGCCGTGTGAGGCCTTTGGGAAGGAGCTAGCTATGGATGCAGAGGCTGTGTCAGCTCTCCTTTGCCTCTTTCTGATGAAGAGATGATAGAAAAAAAGAATAGAAATAGAAATTTTCGATTTTTGTTTTTCAATAGATTTTCAATAGAAAAAAAAAGAATAATTGGAATATTCCCACTTACGTCAACCAATACTTTTGAACAAGAGAGTCATACTCCACTTCTTCAAGAAATGCTCTTCCATTCATAAGGCTAAGTTCCTAAGAGTTTCCTACAAGTAACAATACAAACACCCACTGTATTTTCTTTTCAATGTCTATTTCACCACCACTTATTTCCAGGCTTCCTTCTTCAGCTTTTATATTCCTGAGGAAGTACATTCTTGAGGTTTTATCTGAGGTTTAGGCCTCAGATCCTACAAGATGAGACACTGAATATTAAGCCCAGAGTCCCTGAGGAGCAGCTGGGATTACCAAACTAAGAAATGTCAGTAAGATGAGAATTCACTAAGCAGAGCTTGTAGGTCACATTGTCTGCTTGGCTCTTTCTGTTGAATAAACACAAATCAGCAGGAAAACACAACGTTTGGGGGGACCTAGTATTTTCACACAATTTTCAGCTTATGTAGGTGTCCATCTGTAAAGATGTGGATACAGCAGCTCTGGTGAGCTCCAGAATACACAGTACCTTATTGCTTCGGGGTGTTAGTGAGTCACTGGGACAATTCAAAGTGAAATTTATTCTTGGATGCATGATACTCAAGAAGAATTAAGCTTATGCTGCATCTCCAATATTTCAGGTATGCCCCACTATGTGACTACAGAGTTCAGCTGGCTTGAAGCATCAGTGTGACAGTAGTGCAACTGCCCAGTCTTCACAGCAGTGTTCAGGACTGACCAGCTGGTAGCTGATTTCCTGCTACAAGGTAGGAGTGCATTTTCAGCTCCATTCTTTCACAAGTAAGTGGTTATCCTTGGCTGTATTATTGTCAAGTTCTCAAAAAAGATAGATGTGACTGCAATGTCAGACAAAACCAGAACATTTTAAATTTAAGGATTAATAGTAGCCTTGCTGGAAGGGAAAAATACCATGAAAGGTACTAACTTTAGCAGTAATGTCTATTTTAAGTAGTAATGAAAAGCAGTCTGCTATGTAAGAATGCTATTAAAGACAGATCCAAAGAGCAAAGAAACACTGATATCACCTAGCTTGCCCACAGTGTAATGGAGGACTGGATGTTTTGCTTTTCTGGACATTGCTTTCTGAATTAGTGTCTGCCGAACTCAGGGTGTTCATGGACACCATGTGGTGCTCTGCTTTGACCACTGGTTTAGTGGCACCAGAAAATTTTTTTTCCAACAAGCCCATTGATCACAGAGTAGAGACTGAAACCAAAGCTGATGATATTTTACAAAACAGCTGCATACCTGATGCATTCCTGTCAGTATATGTTTTACCACTGATGTGAAGGGAGCAGGATGTAGTACCCTTCACAGCAGGGCATTGCCAAGCGTAGTACTATTTGAATGTCTACTCATCTTCTAAGATGAGCCTAAAAAGTGCTGCAAAATTATTTATTGTCTTTATTAAGGTTGTGTTTCATTTATGCTGATTTTGTTAGGGGAAAGACTACGTTCTGTATCACTTTTATGCATTTATGTACAAAGGCTGTGGCAGCAGGATGTGGCTCACAGAAAAGCAAGGAGGAAAAAGTTGGAACCTTAGCTCTTTTGGCTTCAGCAAGTGCTGTTAAAAGCCTGGGCATTTGGAAATGAACATAGGGACTTTGCATTGTCTCACTGTTCTCCCTTGGAGCCAGTTTCTGTCCTCCCTCTTGGAATACTTTACTTTTTTTTTTTTTTTTTTCATCCAGTCACCTCACTGATTTTCTTTGTTGTTTTCTTTTTCTTTTCCTTTTTCTTCTTCTTCTTCTTCTTCTTCTTTTTCTTTTTCTTTTCTTTCTTTTTTTTTTTTTAATGAGAACTGGCACAATTTATCTCAAAAGACCTAAAGCAAAGCTAAATCCAGCTTTAAAGAACTTCCAGAGGTCTACCACAGGGGGCCCAAGAGTTTCTGAAAGGCACAGAGCCCCCAAGCAGATGTTGCTGCTCCTCCAGCAATGTTCATTATTATCAGGAAATGTAGTCCCCTTCTGGCTTTCTCCTAACAAGCAACTGCTAAGCAAGGTGCCTCTGCCCTGTGTGCCAGTCAGCTTGCTCAGCTGTGCTGGTTAAATGGCAGACAAATGCGCTGTGTTACATATAGGGGTAATATAACCCCTGGGTGATATTATATATCACACCCCTGGGTGTGATGGAATTTTCTCCCAGGCAGGGGATTAACCTGCAACCTCATTTGTCTTGTACTACAATGCAGTGTCACCATGATAATCGCAAGGCAAATAAATAGTTTACTGCTTGGCTTGAGGTAAGTAAGTAAAAATTAACTACTTTTATTAACTAAAATGGTGAATGCTGACAAGAGAGAAGCTGAGTGGACTCAAGGAAACCATTACAAGATACCTGGAGATGTGTGCCATGGTGAAAGACAGGCAGTCTGGGAGATCTGTCAGGAGTGGGTGAAACTGGAGTTGTTAGGGGGGTCAGTGCTCTGCAAAATCTTCATAGACTATACAACATAAAAAAAATTGTGGAAATCGAAAATGCTTTTGTCCACTTGGTAGCACTGTTCTTTGCCAAACAAGCTGCCACTTATAAGTCCCTCATAAAATAAAAAAGGGCTGGATATTGTTTTCCATTTCTGACCTTAACTCTTTGTTTAACTAACTCTGCTTTTGATAGAGGACAGTGGTGGGGAAGGTATGCACCAGTCTCCCTTCTTTCTTTTCTCTCAAAAGATCTTGTCTGAAAGCTGCACTCTGGGAGAGTGTGAAGGCTGAAGGTGGAAAACAAACTTAAAGATGCTTTGTCCCATTTGCACACATTTAAAGTGACACTGGAACTGGAGAGCATCTAGGAGTGGCCACGGTATTATAATTCAGCAACAACAGGCCTTGGACAATCTCAAGGGTCATCAGGTGAATTCCTTTCTTCAAATAACCCCAAAGAGAGGGTGAGGCAACTTATTGAAGACAAATGAGCTCTGAAATTACACACATGGGAAAAAATATGGCAGCAGTCAGCATGTGTGGGTTACTCTGTCACAGAAGAGAAGAACTACTTCTCCCAGAGGACTATTTGCTGTTCTGTTTCTGTTTTCCACTCAGAGGAAAAGAAAAAAGCTGTTCACAGATGACAAGACAACCCCTTTTTTGACATTCTGGCTTGTCTCTGCTCCCAGCCATATCACCTCAGATTACTTAGAGTAAGGCCTTCAGTTTTCAGACACTCTCATTTTATTTATTGGCTTCAATTCTAATTATATTGTGTTATATTGTGTTATAGTGTGTTATCTTGCATTCCGATATCTTATTTAGCAAAATCCATAGACTCATAGAATCAAAATTAGTTTGTTTCTCTTCAGATTGTTGCTGCCCTACCCTTTCCACTTTTCACCTTTTCCCTTTCCCAGGGCTTGGGTCCGTGGGTTACCCTGCCCCACTAGTCATGGAACCTGGCTGAACCGGCCCATAAACTGTTGACATAGGATCACTTGAGGGCCCTTCTCAAAAACTTTCTGGACTCAAAGGCCATGTAAGCACGCTAATTAGCATTCAGGGGTCATCTGAGGTTACGACTTGGCCAGTGAGGTTATCCGAGGTCCAAAAATCCCATCCAAAAATGTTGGGACTCAAAGGTCATCTGAGGACACCAGTTAGCACTCAGGGGTCATCCGAGGACACAACACAGCCAGTGAGGTCATTTGAGATCTCTGCTAAAAAAAAATTCTGGACTTGCTTAAAGGTCCTTTGAGATTCCCTATTAGTATGTGAGGTCATTCACTGTCATTATTTCAAACCTCTCTGCAGCTCCTGATTTCCTTGAATTTGGTGGTACTTCACTATAGTGGGCAGTTTGATCAGCTCCCCTTTCTACTTCCAGGATCCAGTCAGCAATTCTGAGTCCACTGAGCCCCAAACTCATACCCCATGTCATGCTTCTTGCACTCAGCATGCAGAAGGAGCAACAGTGACGCTTTCCTTGGCCTCTTACTTCCCTTACAGGTGTTCTTTTTTGTTTTTCTTTCTTTTTTTATTTTTGCCTGTTCATGTGACCATCTCACTTTTGCTTTATGGATTGAATTCCCCTTTCTTACACGCTGACTACTTACTTAAAATGCTTAGACAGTTGTACTGGGTCTCAGGATAACAGAGAAAACCAACACCACTCTGTACCCACTGGTATGCAGTAATAGAAAGTAGACTTACTTCATGCTGGAGATAGTGTCAAACACAAGACTGTAAAATCACAAATTTATTTTATTCCACTGTTACTTATTTTATAAAGAAAATAATTAGACAATCACCAGCTCCACAGCTGCTCCCATCGACCAGCTTTATTACATTCCACGAAGCCAACACTGTTTCAATGCTGCTCAGCAATCTCAGCTTCATTGTGGGATGAAAGCTAATGGCCAACAGTTTTTTTAAAATGCCGAGAGCAGGAAAAGAAGAACAGCGTGAAGTAAGTGAAGGCAATAATATTGCCTTCTACCATGATATAAACGTGTGCGTAAAGGTGTTCGTCAAGATTTAGTTCAGAAGAGTATACAGGGACAAGAGGCTTACCCTTTCTGGAAGGTTGGTGAAGTCTCCAGATGGGCTTTGTTTGATGCAGCTCAGGATACAGTTGGCTTTCTGGGTTGCAAGGGCACATTGCTGGTTCATGGCCAGATGCCATCTACCAATACCCCCAGGTCCTTTGGCAAGGCCAAGCTACAACCTTTCATTCCCTAACTTGTACTGATAGTGGGAATTGCTGTAACCCAAGTGCAAGACTTTGCTTTAGTCAATAAATTATGGCTGTCTAGACTGCATATTCTGCTATGCAAGTAAGCATGACAGGTATATACACTCACATGCTCAGGTTTCATTGTTTTATATTGACAGGAGAAATCTTGGCAGTTGTTAGTTGCAATCTGTGTAGTGCTGCATACATGGATTCTGAAAAATTCAACTTAATCAGTTTAACCAATATAGGAACCTATGCAGAGCCAACAGGAAATCAAAGATTTTACAACCTGCTCATAATGTCCTGTATGCAAACTTCCCCATCTGTAACCAAGCCAATACATAAGTGCAGTAGTAGATTCTGTCATCACTCAGAGATGTACTTTACTGCTAGATCCACTCTTTAGCTTAGAATTTATTTAAAAAAATAAAAAAAAATAAAAAAAGCAAGCCCTGCTTTATGGAGATCTCTTGTCTTCACCCAGGATTTAGCTGATATTCTGGAGATGACTCAGATTCTAGCAAAAATTTGCATCAGTGTAGGAATGCAGAGCAAACACAAAAAGTCCTCTCTCTTCCAGACTGCAGCAATGAGAAAAAAAGGTCAGTCTGGAAAGATTAAAGAGCTTTGTCGGTTCAGAAATTTTCTTCAGGAGCCTAAAGCTCAGGAGACAGAACACACACACACACACACACACACACACACACACACACACACACACAAGAAATATGTATGTGTATTTTTAGTCAGCCAAATATGCTGAGTCTGGCTTGGGTTTTTAAAGAGATTACTCTACTGTTGACAGTGAGACAGCTGAGCACTGCAACCATAAGGCTGGGTGTGATCCTTCCCACTTCAATTAGCCACAGCATGTTCATTAGTGGCAGCTGAGACACAGCTGGGCCTACAAATTGAAAATCCCATAAGGAACTGCTGCTTAAGGTGGTTTAATGCAGAACTGATTAATTGTAGGTGGTATCTAACTAATGAAGTTATGCAATGATTTATATCACAGTAAAAAACACAACAATTTATGGTCATATTGGTCAGATCACAGTACACCAAGGAGTTCCCTACAGTGATTCCATGATTCTGGATTTAGTTATCTATCGGCAATCCCTATCATAGGGATAGTTTACTATTTAGATCATTATAGTCTATTTGCCCACTCACATCACTTTATGTGAAATCTTAATGCATGAGTGCTACATCTGACACCCCAATTGGAATCTAACAGCTTGAAAAAATGGGCTCTTATTGCTCATGCAATAAATAAATCCTGCTTTCTACTGGCACCATTTAATTCACAGCTTCCCCTAATGCTCACCTCCTTTCTGTCAGGTTCTTTCTTTGAAATAAAAGCTCTTCCACCCCCTTTTCCTCTTAGGACCAGCATGTTTCCTACAGTGAAAGAAGCACCATGCACTGAGACCACACTGGCTCTGCAGGCCCTATGAACGGGGGAATCCATCAGCAAGTGCCATACTAATGGAGGACCTTGGTTGGTGTGGCAGAAATACAGCCTGAACCAGTGATTGAGCACCTGGTGGGAGGGCAGGGCCAACCCTGGGGAGCTGAGTCATATGCAGTGCACCTGAATGACAGGAAGGGATGAAGCCAGGATCCACCCCTTCCATCATTTAAGCATTGGCAGAGGCAATGAAGGTATTTCATTTGAGATCTCTGCCTACCTGAGGCCCTCCAAAGGTAAGCAGCTCTTTTCCTCCGTTTCTGCACCTATGGCAAATGCATCTGGGCTGATCCTCATTTGCTGCAGCCAAAGGCTTTGCCACCCTGCTATTATCACAGTACTTTCCATCCCATTACAGTGTTATGCTAGACAATCCAGACAGATATTTATTTACAAGGGATTACTTAAAAAAAAAATAATGTGTTGGATGGTCACTAGGAGCCCAACTACACCAAAAGATGGAACTCTCGTAGGAAACCCCGGGTCACCTGGGTTCCCTGTGGCTAAGCACTGCTCAGGTTATTGAAAAATAGGGACCTATAAGGGATAACAGTCTCATTAAATCCCCTTCAAAAATGGCTGACTTGAATAAATTAGGACAAAACTTTTTGACGACTGAGGAAAGAGTAGTGCCATAGCATGGCTACTGCTTCTCACTATTAACGCATATCATTCCTCAGAGGAAGAATTCAAAGATGAAAATGAGTTTTTGAAAGCTTTTTTGACCTGTACACAGCCCATATAGTTCTCTCACATGGCCATCTGGGAAGTCAGACAGCACATATAGAATGACAGTGGATTACAGAGAATTAAATAAGGTCATGCTGCCCATTCATGCTGCTGTACCCAATATGGCCTCCCTGATGGACACATTGATTAGGGAGATAGAAACCTACCACTGTGTCCTAGACTTGGCAAATGCATTCCTCAGTATTCCCATCCATGAAGAATTGCAAGACCAGTTTGCATTTACATGGGGAGGCAGGCAGTGGACCTTCCAGGTCCTGCCTCAAGGATACGTGCATTCACCAACCTACTGTCATAACTTAGTTGTGTGTGACCTAGCAGAGTGGAATAATCCTAGTAACATCAAACTGTACCACTATAGTGATGATCTCATGTTGACATCCGACTCGCTGGAGGCATGAGGAAGGGCAGTAGACTCATTAATTGATCATTTACAAGAGAAAGCCCTGTACAGTCAGCCAAGACATGCCCTAGTGCAAGCTGAAGTGTTGATCCAGGACAGGAACACAGCCTGTATCTTGCCATGAAAGGCAGACCTACCTCTTCTGGTACCTCTGAAACATCTATAGTACACTCTTTGAGTCCACAGGATCGCTGAGAGGAGCAACATGACATCAAGATGCTCCAGTGTCACTATAAGATCAGCATGACACCAAGTGGTGAACTATATGGGACTGATGGAATGCAAGCTGAACCTTCTCTTGTCCAAGCAGCCATGTGCCTTCAGGAGAACCACTGAGTACTGGCCCACAAAGGAACATGAATCTCAACTAGAACCAATCATCAATCGTCTTATATTTTCTCAATCTACACCGAGACAGGCAAAACTGTACAAAGCGTCACTGACTCACGCTATGAAGGGGTGGAGTGTAGCAGAAATGCTAACTCACAGCCTGAACTAGTGATTGAGTGCCTGGTGGGAAGGCAGGGCCAACGCAGCGGAGCTCAGGGGCATGCCTTTCCCAGACCTTATTTAAGGGTTGGCAGTGGAGGTGAGGGCATCTCACTGGAGATCGCTGCCTACCTCAGGCCTTCCAAAAGTAAGCAGCTCTTTTCCTTCATTTCTGTGTCCACAGCTACTGCATTTGGGCTCATCCTCATTTGCTGCAACCAAAGACTTTGCCACCCTGCTATTATTGTGGTGCTTTCCATCCCATTACAGAATTACAACTGGTATCACGGTAATGCTAAAATAAAGGCAGAAAAGGTGTGAAACCTTGTGTCCAAGGGAACAGAGTCACTTCACAAAAAAAAAGTAAGTGAGGAAATGAATAGGTCAGATTCAGACTCTTATTACTAGACATTACTTCACCTAGAGGCCCTCCTCTTGCCTCACAGATGTAGCTTTTTTTCAACAGCCGTTCATGCATTTCAGAGGGCCAACAGCATAAAAGGAATCTAAAAATAGGTTAAAGCCTGAAACCAAAGAGCAGCTGTTTCACTAGCAATGAGAGAAGCAGAAGGAAAAAGAATTGTAGGACAATGTATTACTGAGTGATTTTTATGTTATATATTTCATGCTATCTTACAGAAGGTCTTCGAGTATCTGGTCATTTCAGATTTGCAGTAACTGACAGAGCTAGAACCTACCATGTGCGCTCTTCTCATCTTCTTAAAAGGAAGATTATTAGGAAATGGGGATCTGAGACATGAATACAGTATGCAGAGCTAACAGATGTCTTATGGGATCATGGAATCATAGTATGACTTAGGTTGGAGGGGACCTTAAAGATCATTGAGTTTGAACCACCCTGCCATGAGCTGATTGTTCTCCACCAGCTCAGGCTGCCCATGGCCTCATCCAGCCTGGCCTTGGGCACCTTCAGGGATGGAACATCCACAGTTCTCTGGGCAGCAATGCCAAAGCCTCTAAGTAAAGTATTTCCCTCCTACCATCTAAATTTCCCCTTTTAGTAGAAAGCCATTCTCCCTTGTCCTATCACTATTAGACCATGTGAAAAGTCATTCACCTTCCTGCTTATAAGCTCTCCCTTCAAGTACTGGAAGACCACAATGAGGTCTCACCAGAGATCTAATCTTGCACTAGAACAGGAAGGTTCTAGGGAATCTCAGGTGATAGCAAGAGACTGCCTGTTGTAGAATGTTCCAAGGGGAAGAGAGACTGCCTGCTGGGAGCTGCATCACTGCTGTGCTCTTACTTACGAAGTATCAGCTGTAGAAGATGAATTTTCTGCATCCTACAGGTCCTTGGACACCTACAATTCTGTAGAAAAGAAATCCCTTCTATCCTGATTAATTCTTGTCCTTTATTCAAGAACTCTGCAACTCATCAAAAGGCTGATCCCAGCCTTGAAAGAGCCTGCCAGGCCAAGTTATTCAGCTAGCTTGGAATAACAAACTGAAAACAGACAGCCAAACAAAGTAGGATTCGTTGTGTTAGCTGGGGTGATAGCAAACAGAAAATCATGTGTAAGTACATGGATATGGCAGTTTAGAGCAGGAATTGAATTTAATAAAAATGAGGTTAGGGATGAGAGCTCTCAGAGCTCATATTATACAATCATTAGCTGGTATGGACGTACGGGCCAAAAATGAGATCAGAGAAATAACAAGTAGGGTGTTAAGCCACTGGCAACTATATGACGTGAGAAAAGACAAAGCTAAATCCTCCAGGTTACAGGGAAGAGATGCACCAACATTCAGATTACAAGCAAGGCTTGGAAATGAAAATTTAAATTCTTCTTCTATAAAGATCTGAATTTATCAGTAACACTTCATTCCCCAGTCCCTAAAGAAGCTACCTCAAGGGTCATTTCACTCTGAGAATGCCAACTGACACATGGAAAACATTACTGTCTAAGATCAGCTTTAAAAGGTGGGATGAAGGATGCCCCTGTTTGTGTCAGTAGAGAGAGGGCACCATCTATGACAAGATGGTGACACACAGGACACACCAGTGTTTCATCATTTCCAGACTTCATTCCTTAGGACATACTTCACTGCCTACTTCTGGTCCTGGAGTGGGCCTGGTGTGTGAATGACCACTGGTGACTTCCTATGGTTCCTGTTACTCTTGCTACCATTCAGCAAAAAGTAAGAAAGATGGGCAGCTTCTGAGGAGCTGAAGAAAACTGTCAGGTTCAGCTACATCCTGAGGGGTCAAGGCAGAGGGCCATGAGGAAAAGGAGGGCAGGGAGAGAACAGGAGAGGGAAGGATTTGTCAGCAGGAGAGCAGATGTTATAGAGAGAAAGCAACTACAAGTCCTCTTTTTCTCACTGATGGAGGTCATACACACAGAGACTGCAATGCTCTTAAGACTGGGAGAAGCAATACCTTTGATAGTACAAAATGACCACAACCAGCTCAAGTGTTTGGCAGCGAAAAATCACACCTGAAGAGCCGCTGTTATCTGAAAATAGCAAAGCAAACAACTTTGTGCACTGCCTCTCCTTCTGTTTGTGTCAGCTTTAGCCTCAGAAGTCAGCTGATGTTTTAAAGACCTTGGCAGCCAGGGGTAGAATTCATCTGAAAAAAATCAATTAACAGGTTCACATCTGAGCTACTTGGATTAACCTCTCTTTAAACTTAATGGACATAGTACCATTCATCACACACTAAAATAGGCCAGGTGAGTCATGCCTAAAAATATCCAATCCTCTTCATTAACTAATAAGGGAGCCCTAGAGCTCTTGGTGCAGCTGTAGATGTACATCCATCACAAATTTCTGAGGTGCCAAGGAGTGAATCCCTCTTTAGGTTTCTGGCAGTGACCCTCAGACCAAGGAATGAATCCTTGATCCAGCTGACCCATCCCTCCTTTTCCAGCACAGCTTGAGGATCAGCTGGGAGAAATGCCTGTGCTGTGCTCTACTCTATTTTCCTCACTTAGTACAAGCAGCGGAGAGGAGTGGAGCTTTGGGATGGATGTTTTGGGATTGTCTGATCTCCAACACAAATGGAGAAGGAGAGAGAAGGTCCCTCTGTGCTCGGCCAGGAGGGCTGAAAGGCAAAACTGCCCAGGGAGATTGTTACTGACAGGAAATAGCCGTCTCTGGGGCTGAGAACCACATAGGGCTCTTTGAAAGAAAAGCTCTTATAACTGTGAAGAAAAGGCTTTCACTCACAGGACTCAACAGTATCAGTGGGAAGACTGATGGCCTTAAAGATTTCATTTACCCACATTGCTAGCATCCCCCCAGAGGCTGGCATTGCGGGGAATTATTTGTGGTTGAGCAGTCTGGAGAGGATGGGAAAATAGTTTGGGCAGCACAGCCCTAAGCAGAAACCATATCTGACTTCTGTGTCAATTCCAAGAACAACAGTTTTTCATCGAACCCTTTTCCAGCATCCCAGGGTATTTCTCACAGTCACTTCTCCCCCATGACTATGCTGGAAAGTAGCATTATGTAAGACCTGCTTTCCTCATGGGAGACCACACTGTCCCAGACTGGGACACCCACAGCGCTGCTGAGCTGAGGATGTGCTGGTGCTTGCCAGCAGCTCTTTGCCAGCACTCAGGAGCAGAGGAACAGCACTCAGTGCTTAGGCTTGCAAGGGAATACTGATATTGACACTTTCATTTACCTGTGTGTACATACACTTAATGTAAAGAATTTAGACAAAGCTCACTTTGGAGTTATCAATCAGTTCAAAGACAGATGCATTCTGTATGGATACCCCAATGACTGCTGTGCATTCTTTGTAATTTGCTCTACACTCATTAAACTTGAAACTAATATAAAGTAAGTGCACAATTGAGCATGCTAATAATAGCACCAGTCCATTTCTTATACTGTTTCCATAAAGATATTTTTTATAGCACCTTTGGCACAACTGAGACCTTGCATAATTAAATTTGATTTTACTTTCTTACAACTCTAAGCTTAACTGGAGATCTCTAATTAGTTACAATCATTTTTTTCTGGAATGTGTTCTACTTAGCATAATCTTGTACTCATCTAGCCAAACACCATATGTATTTATTAATATCTCCTACTGATAGCTTTGTAACTGAGACATTTTGACCAAGTGAGATAAATAACTACGTGCCTCACAACCACAACTTTTTGTGTGGCATCTGCTTTGGGTGCTAGGATGATATACTCAGTGAAAAATAGCAGACTACACATTACAACTCCAGACATGTACTGATTATGTAAGTTATTTTGTCATAGCAATGCTTGCCAGTTCTTCAGAGCTTTCTATTCACAGATGTAGGGCACAGTATGCCTTTGGAAGCTATCTGGCACACAAAAGCCTTTGAAAAGATCCACAAATAAGTTAAAAGTAATGGAATTTGAAAAAGCATTTGTACCTACCAAAAATACTGCAGGGTCTCAATGTCTTTAAGTCAATGCCACCTCTAACTTCCATTCACTGTTTTCTCAACACTTAGCATTCAAAAATCTTAAAGGTAACACCAACATTATGTTATCTAAATAAATAATGACACCATTTCATTTACTCACAGATTTCTGTGCACACAAGTTGGATACACGCTTTGTGCTTCCAAAATGTTTTATTTATTTTTTTCTGGACAGAAGCATCGTAAATGTACCACGGGCAAAAGAAGCTAAAGATTTGGGTTACTGCATTTCAGCTGGAACACTAACGCATACCATGCCCTTCTCCCGGCACATTTAAATTAGTGATGCAATTAAAGCAATTGACAGCAGTTTGGCTTACTTTCAGACTGAAATGTAGTTGATAGAAATGGTCTAAAACCAAAAAGATATCAAGCTGAAATATCATGTCTTCATGTATTCATGATACTTCTGGGTACACATACTTATTAAAAGACAACATTCTGACTTCGTGAAAATTATTTTGGACCAAAGAAGGTTTATGGAATATAGTAGAATCCAGCCCCAAATTTTTAATGTGCCAGCATCAAACAAGAGATTTCATGTTCTGCTCTTACAGCTCTCTGTTCTAGGTCACAGACAACAACCCTCACTGTAAAGTGGCAATGAGCTTTATAGTTTACACTACTTCTCTTTTTGTGCATTATGGTTTCTTATCTTTTCTCTTTATCGGTTTGTATCTGGTACACCTACTTTGTTACTGATGTAAAGAAGCAATTCAAAATGCAATTATTTATTTTCACATTAATCTTCCTTGTTTAAATAATTGATGAACATGGACACTTGGAGTCAGAGGTCATTACTGCTTCTGCCTTTCTGATCTTTGTGGTAGCAACTCTGTCAAGCCACTAGAGAACATGTCTCGAATTGCTCAGTCTTTGATCAGCCAGACTTGAAACTGCCTGAATACAAATCTCTGCTCGCTCCTCCAAAATCTGTTTTCCACAATCTACCCCGTTTGCCTCACATACACTTAAGCACCTGATTTTGCATTAAGTCTTCTTCATCTTCTGTATCACAAGGAGTCTGGGAAGCCACAGACTGCTCATCCTGCAGTTCACCTCTCTGTCCAAACATCCAAACACTCTGGGTCACTTCTGCTAGGCAAAAGGCCCGGCAGCATAGAGCCACTACCTCACGACACTGCTGTACCCTAACAGCACAGATCACACCCTACTTCTCTGCAAGGATCTTCTGCTGGGGTTCATAGATGCCATTTTGGGAAATCCCAAACTATGGTCACTTCTGCAGCACTAAAAACTACGCCATCTTCATCCAAACTTTTCTAACCTTGTATTTCATTATCCAGTAATTCATGTCAATATACATGGCCCAAGCCCATAACAAACCCCTGATGGTCTCTTACAATGCAATGGAGAAACTCTCATCTTAACCCTGAGACTGCTCATCTGCTGGGGCTGCTGGGGCATCTCGTGACAGGAGCAGTTCTCTTTCATGGTTTTAATACAGCTTGTGTTATACGATTTCACAGCCATTAATATATTCTAATAGATGTGTAGGATGACCTCCTTTCATAACATTGAAGTTTAAAAATTCATTACAATCTGAAGAAAATACTCTGGACTAGGAAACAGTTTCATTCTGAGGGAGATAAGTTGGTGGCTTCCTGCTAATCAGCACTGCTAACATTTTAATATATACAGTATTTTCTCAGAATGTTGAATAAAATTGTAAGCTCTAAGAGGGAATAAATGTTATAAAGATAGAAATCTCTACTGCCATTTAAGTGATAAGTTAAAAAAAAAAAGCCATCTTTTCATGCTTGGGGGTATTTTTCACTCAGAAGTCACTTTTTAATCTGATTTAAATCCAATTAAGTCTGAACATCTAAAATGAAGAACAAGTCTTTGAATTTATGTATAACTGATTTAACTAATCACTGTTTCACTGCAGAGCTACTACGCAAACAAACTATGAAAAATAAATGTGAAATCAGACCCAAACCACAGACAGCCTTGATTTTAGTTTTTAAATAAATTAGTAATCATGTTGCACAAAGCATGGCCTTTTTTTTTTTTTTTTCTTCTTTTTTTTTGCTATCAGCAAGCCTAAGTTGCAGTTATTAGATTTAAAAACTAACAGTGAAAAGTGGTGCTATAGTTCACAAAAGACATTTTTTTGCCTTCCCATTTAGGACAGAAAGCACTTGCGATCCCTGATGTGCACAGAGGCCCAGAAATACCAGTTTCTGCCACATTTTATTGGTAAGTTGAAGAAAGATTGCATTACAGCCATCACAGCTGTAGCCAGCTGCATGCCACAGAACATCATAATTGTATAACTCCAGGATAATGGAAAAACTTTTAAAGCTTCCTGTCATAAGATATCTTCCATTAAGCTGCTGTCTGCCTGACATGTGCAAACCGCCATCTTATCGATGAGACGACACTGAAGTGCTGCCAGAGGATCAGTGCCTGCTGCAGCAGCTTCCTCGCTGTGGGTCACAACCCACTGCTACAGGAGAGCTCCTCCCAGAGTGCCCCAGCACCGGGGCACCAGCCTCCTGGAGGCAATCTCTCTGCCATTTTAACCTCCCTTGTGAGGTGCATGCTCCTGTCCATTGGAACAGAGCTTCCAGAGGCTTTCCATCAGGAAGAGCATTACGCAGAAGCAGCACATTCCTGAAATCCCCATCATCTGCCTATCATAGTGCAGAGACAGCTGCAAACTGTGCCTCCAGCAGCTGCAGCTGAGAAACGCAGTGGCTGTTTGGCAAACTGGAAAAGGTGGCAGCCCCCAAATGACAGCTCCCAATCACCGCCTCACTCCTTCCCATGAAATAAAGCATTTCTCCCCCTTTTTGAACTATGCAACAGTGCATAGACGTGCCTTGGAGATGCAGATATACATAGGGGGAAATAAACTGTCTGAGATTATTTCTGAAACCTCTACACAATTCTGCAAGTCCAGCTCAGTACTGTAGCAACAGGCAACAAACCACTCACACTGCTGTTTTGCAGCGACTTTTCTCAAGGTTTAAGTAAAAAAAATTACTTAGTTAGAAGGGGGCTTTTTTGTTGGTTTTTTTGTTTGTTTGTTTGTTTTAAATAATACTTGTATCGATAAACTAGTATTTACTATAAAGGGGAAAAAAAAACCAAACACTTCAAAATTAAGGCAATTGGACTTTCTGTTCTTCAGTCCATAACATACAAGCATTCCATTTTTCATCTTGTTTGCAGCCCCTGCCTAACAATCCTTGGCACTAGAGAGGATTAACAACAGGATGATGGTTATAATCATACCAGGCCTGCCAAGCATTAGCTTGTGGCAGTGCCATTAAAGGCCCAAGAATTTCAGCTGGAACTACAGGTATTTCTCTTGTTACAAAAACAGCACTGGGGAGCCCCCAGGCAACAGGAGTAATACAAGAGGCTGATAATGCAAACAAACCCCATATTTGATCTCAGAAATGATGTTTCAGTCCTGAAGCTCTTCAACACAGGTATCTGTTACATCTGTTACATACTGATACATACTGTTATCTGTAACACATTTCTGTGCACTCCACCTCCAGGGCTGACATACTACGAGATGCTTCTGAGTATTTTATTTTATTTTTTTTCTTAAACATGGACTACTTGGAAAATTAAAAGGAAAACATACCATTGTGAGATTTGATCTATTTCCTCTCTCATATGGAAAAAGGTTAGTTATAAGTAACACAAAGTGATGGATCTGTGGGAGAGCAAAATTAGCTATGACATGGTTTAAAGCACTTTAATAAATTTATTAAAAGTCAAGATGTGCTTCAAAATAAATCTCAGTGCACTTTCAAAAAATTGCATGGCTTAAAAAAGATGCACTCAAGGAATGAAGCAACACTTTTTTTTTTTTTTTTTTTTTAATTGCATTGGGAATTATCAGTGTGGTTCCAGTAGCAGAGTTTTTTTTCTGCAGCATTCTAATGAGCACAACCAGATGTATGAACCTTAATGCTTCTAATTTACAGAAATGGGGAGACATGGTGTTACGTATAAAGCATTTGTACAGTGTTTATTATGGAGCAGTTTTCCCTTCACCTCCATATACCGTAGTCACTGTAGGAAACACAAAGAATGGGAAAAAGAATGGATGTGGCTGACAGCGATTACTGATGAGTTGGTTCTCATTGTTTTTCCCTGTATGATTGTGTTTCAGTATGTTGCTATGTTAAATATAGCATACTCTGTCAATTAAGTTATATTTCCCACTTATAAGCCCATAAACAAAGCAAATAAACCAGTGGAATGAAGGGGTGGGAGGCAGGCACGGGAGGGAGGCACAATTTAGCAACTGCTTGAGACCACATACGGTTAAGACAAACAAGGTATGGCAATTCATGCGCACACAAACACGCTCCTATTATTCAAGGCTGAGCAAATCTCCCAGGGGACAGTTTAATGGCCACTATCTACCTCAAACAGATGAAATCCCTTTTCTTAATCCCCAGTCCCCTGAACTTTATTCCACTGCTATTTAAATTTGTCATAAAATCTTTTATTTGCCTTGCCATGTTATTACCTAATCAGTAAGTATATTATGCTCTAATGATTTGTATGTGCTCGCTTTGGTGCGTGAAAAGAAGCCAGGTTACAGTGCCTTCCCAAGCAAGCTGTAAATAAAAACACTGTACAGAAAAAGACAAAGAAACCATACAGCAAGATCAAAAGGCCCTGGGTCCTCATCCTAGGCAAGTCTCAGGAAAAGACAGATCTTTCTTCTTTTGCAAATGCACTTTTTTCTCTTCTCATCAGTATTTAGTCTGTGCCATCTTACTCCTCGGCAATGCCTGCAGCAGGAAGAACAAGCTGTTAGCCTCTGGGGCCGCGTCTGCAGCATGGGGAAAAAGACAGAGGTGCTCACAGACCCTATTCTCTGGCTCCCTGAGTCACCACTACTTGACAGGCCACAGGGCAGCACTGGGATTACACCATGCTTCACGCTGCCAAAGAGTGGCAAGCCAGGTCACAGGCTGGTTTAGCATCCAGAAAGGGACAATAATCAAAATGTGAATTAAATTGGTGTGAAAAACCTACTTGCATCCCATGTCCGCACAGGGTTTGGGTGTGTAACTCAGGGCAGTGCATCTTGCTGACTTGCTGTAAGGCTGTTAGAAGAACAGAACTGGAATTGAGCACGAGCTGATGGTCTGTATCCCCTCCTCCAGTCTGAACGGAGCAGCCAATAAAAGCTACCAGAATACAAGAGGCAAAATATTTACTGCCTGTTTATTTATGCGTGCTACCCAGTCACCTTGAATTATAATGTCACTCCAGTTCCTAGCTGTGTTTTGAGCCTTCTAGACTCTTTTTTTTTTTTAAACCAAGAGAGTAAATCGGGCAGGAAATATTATTGAACCCAACACATCACTGTGTGCTCACGGCTGCTAAAAACTCCATGACTGCCCTCTCAAGTTCCATTAAAATAGAACTTAATATTTTTTCTAAACTATTACCATATGTATAGAAAGCAAGTATGAAAAAGAAAAAAAACCAAAACAGGGCCGTGACTACGTCTGGTTCTAGCAGAACCGTGAACTACAATTTGGAGTTCCTTGACAGAGGCAGAAGTTATAAATATCAGCAAGTGTTGTGCATTGCTTCCCCCATGTCTTCTCAGTGCAATCTGTTCACTGCTTTGAGACCTGAGACAGCCACGTATTCTACTTTCCCTGTCAGTGGCCAATTTGCAAGAAAGCGAGTCATAAAAATTTACTTTGTAGCAAGCAGTACAGTACATTGTCATTCAACATTGATGTTGTTAGAGGATAGCAAATCAATCAGCAGTTCTTATTCAGTACCGTTGTAAGCCACCTGCTTCTATCCCTCCAAAGCAGGCTGTTGCAACAAAGTCATCACTGCCGTACAATCAAACAATTATTTTAAAACGTCAAAACAATGTTGCGTCAAAAGGTTTCTAACTGCCCTACCACTTAATTAAATGAAATGGTTGGACTAGAAAGAAATTTCAGAAAGAAGTAACTTGCCACTCCTTGTGGAGGTTCACTCTAATCAGAAAATATTTATTATAGAATTCTCAGAGTCAGAAGAGATCCTGAAGGGCCATCTGCTCCAACTCTCCACCTTCCCAACTCCAGCTGTGCTGCCAGCTGCAGGCTGTAACAAACTCCTGTCCACACATCTACATTAACACACAACAACAGCTCACCCAGCCCCCTGCTCCCACCACACAGTGAGGCAGCTCAAAGGGCACCTGTCTGTTAGGGCACTGTCTCCTTTGGACTTCTTTTCGTGTTTGCACTGCTTAGGAGTTTTTCCTATAAATCATTTGTATACTTAGTGTCACCAGCTTCATGAATTCATTTGTCTTCACTAAAAGCATCATTGCCTGTGTTGATATCACCTGGTTCTTCAGCCCATGTGTTTCTCTTGCACACTCATCTTCTAATTTCAGCTGCTCAGTGCCCAGGTATCCAACACTAAGGAGTATTAGTTGGATTTGCTTGACTTCAGCTCCACTTTTCTCTCATTCAACAAGCCAAAAGAATGCTTGTAACCTAAAATATTCAGTGATGTTCCATTACATATTTGATAATGGCTTTCCAGTTTGTGAACTGTTGCCTCTTCTTTGCATCTGGCAATAGCCTGAGCTTAATAAACCAGTTATTTTTGCTATCGGCAGTATTCTCAGGTCATAAAAAATGCAGAAATCTCATTCTGGAGTTACTGCTCTCTTTGACATAATGCTTTATTTTCCATTTCGTCTCTCCATTTGCAAATGTTGGTATGATTTCTTTTGCCTCTGTTGCTGAGCATTACCCCAAGTACAGATGAAATTCCATTAACCAAGATTTTTTTTTTTTTTTTTTGCTATACTACTCTGCAATTCTTTTCTCTTCCTCTGAACTATCTGAACAGTTTCATTACTCAAGCTCCTAACACTTAATATTTTTAAGCCGTCACAAATCATTTACCTCTTTCAAATTAAGACCTGATCATTAC